TCTTGTCCAACAATTCATTTAATATTATGATTTTTACAATTTATTTGAATTTATAATTTGAAAGCTCTTTGTCTAAGCTCTACTGATTTACGTGATTACTGTTACGTATTGGTTGGTGTTTCGGCTAAATACGTAATGGAGAAAGCTTTCTTTGAGTCAAACAGGAACCAATGACGTAAAAGATAAACATTGCGTATGAGTGATGTTATCGCTGCGTATGAGTAATGCACACAAATGCGACGGATCAATGAAAATAAATCAAATAAAGTTTTATATGGCTAAACAAGTTGTAGAATGAATCAGCATTGCATCTGAATGAAGTCATTTGGAGAATTTCCTGAAACGCGAATTCTTTAAAATTAGTATTCCTATAAAGCATAATTCCCTCACTCCAACAAGTACATTTGACAAGTTTTCGCTACCATTTGTCGCAAAGTTATTTTAATGACTTTAGCTTGTCCAGTTGTCAGCGCTTGTTGCATTCGTATTTGGTTTTTTTACGTCTCAAACGATTTCCGTCATTTACGGCTCAATTAGGCGTGTGCCTCGTTTTTCTTTGCTTTAGAAATTTGCATGAGACAGTTCAATGCTGGTCGCGCTTTTCGGTCACCGTTCGATGATCCCTCAAAGCGTTTAAAGGTTTTCCAAGGGCCAGACGCACTGACCCTTTAGTAAATAAACTGACCAGTTCATGTCGACTCATAAGTTGTTTCCTTTGTTTTTTAACTTATGCGCGTTCATGTATGCATTTTTTTCCAGGTGCAGTACGTTTTACTATTGTAATTTATTTGGAGATTATTAGTCTATATTTTGGTTCTTTAAAGTGAATTTATAGGTTTGTACATTCACTTCAAAAAAGAATAAACTACTATATTAAGGTTTAATAACGGATAAATAATCTAATACTAGAAATGGAACAAGAATAACGGAATAACAAGAATAACAAAAAATGCATATTAATCAATCATTAAAATGTCAAAAAAGTTTAATGTTCTTCTAATTTTAGATATCAATGAAAGATTTTAATTAAGAACGATATTTAAAATTATTTTTTATTAATATAGAGGAATTACACAATTGTTTTACAGATTTGAAATGCACAGTGTGTTTATGGTCGTGCCTCTGTTTGATTTCTTACGATTTTTACCGTGTCGCACGTTGCGCATTCGATTAACACCTCATTTCGCTTATTTACCTGCTGCAACTGCTTCTTCTTTATTGAATTATTCCTACTCGTTGTGGAAGTTTTGCATCACAAAAGTCTCGCTTTATTTTGTTTTTTCATCTTTTTATTTTGTTACTGTTTGCCGTTTTCTCAATCTTGATTATCTTGGCTTTAATTTGCTGCTTCCTACGAGTGGGTTTGTGTGTGTTTTTAAGGCAATTGTTAGGCCATTGTTGATACAACACTTAGATAGCACTCGCCATTACAATGCAGTTTTGTTTGGCTGAAAATGCGAAACGTGACCGTTATAGACAGCGGTGAGAGATTTTCTATTGCGGCTGTTTGTCGACAAATGTAAATGAAAATAAATACATTTTTGCAATTTTCTTGAAATATGCATAAAAGGAAAAGGAGCCGGGGTAACTTAATTCCCAAAATATCCGACATGCACTAGTTCATTACTTTTTGGCAGACAGAACAAAAACTGATACGGCTGATCTACCGTTCCCCCTTTTTCGCCCCTGAGCACCAATCAAGCGAACAAGTTTTTTGATTTCCCTCTTTTCCGTGAAAATTTGCACAATTCTTTTGCATTTCCGACAATTGGCGCACGTTGCCTTTCAATGTGTGCTTTATTTTTAATGGCTATGATGTTGATGTGTATAATGATGATGGTTTGAGGGGGGTCGGAGGGGCAGAAAGGGGTGACGTACATTCAGCTCGCCGTGGTCAGTTGGTGGGCTTGTTTTGGATTGCTTAATGATGTGTAACTTACATCATTTTTTCTAGATTAAAGACGAACTATTTTTGCCATAACGTTTGATTTATAAGTAACATTAAATTGTTAACAAATGGTATACTTTTTTGTAGCTTCAAATTTAATTTCAGAGTTCTTAAAAGTTATTAAAATGTTTTTGTTCTGGTATTTTTATTTAAAGTTAAGCTCCCACAAGTCTATAATTATAAAATTATTCCAAAGTAACCACATTTTTCTGAAATGGTTTGCATTTAATAGTCTGTAAATTATTAACTGTCAATAATAAAAATTGTTTATTTCATTTGTAATTCAACTCATTTTTAATTGCACTTATTTACTTCTCTAAATATTAGCTATAATTCAATAATGGTAGAAAAATCTCAAGATAAAGTTTACCTAGAAAATTGTCTATTTTATTCTAATATCATATAACAGAGTATCGCCCAGTTAAATCATTTTGACCCTGTTTAAGCATGGAAAATCCAAAAGCAATTGATAGGCGATAACAAGTCCCATTATGCTGACGGTAAAATGGAAAAATTGATTCGTAAAAGCACATTTATGCTGAAAATGTATGTGCCAAGGGCTGCCATTGCAGTAGAAGTATGCAGAAACATGGCGAGGATTTATCTCCATTTGTGGAGTTTTCACAGTAATTTTCCGGTGTTGTTTTTGATTGATTGTCTTTCGCCAAGCACGAGCTCATGGCCTGATTTAGTTGAAATTTCTACTATTTGTTCTTGATTTGTTCTGTTTTACTTAGTGACAATTGTGTTGTTCTGGGGGCGTGTTTGGCTTTCCGTCTGGCGAGGGACAATGTCAGAGTCAGCTTTTCGGCCACATGTGCTGTCTGTGTTTTTCTTGTTTTCGGTTATTTTTTTGGCCATTATATAGACCACCATGAGCAAACAGCTATGGGTGTATGTACACATCACATGTGCCGACCTGGCAACGAGACGGTGTTCGTTTTCCTTTATGTTCTGGCATTTTACAGAATGCAAATAGAAAGACAAAAGTTTAGCAAATCGCCACCTTCGATTGCCAAATGGTCTGTGACTAATCGCCCCCGAGTGCTGTGAGGCCGCTAATTGGTAGTATCAACTAATATCGCAGAGCGGCTGTGAACACATCCACCATATGTTAGGGGCTCCTAAGTATCTCTCCGTTTATCTGTGCAAATAAACACAGTTCCACCGAATCAAATCACGCGAGTATTTCTGAGGTCTTGAGTTGCGGTTTTGGTTTAGAAACATACTTTTTGCGCCTTTTGCAATCACTGCAATTTTCAGTTGGATTTAGTTTGGTGGTTTCTTGACCCAAAAACAAAAAATATGTCGACACAGCTGAGTCGGTAAAGGTTAAGAGCCCAAAGAAATCTTTAACGAGAACGGAAAATATATTTTGAGTCTATGGATATGCAAATGCTCTTAAAGCTTTGAGTAATGGTTGTAGAAGTTAAAGTAATGAAATGTATTAGTGTTTAGTTTTTAAGGAAATGTAATTTTTTGGGAAAAAATATTCTATATTTCATGGTTTTAAGTGCAAGTTAAACTAGTTTCAATTAAAAAGTATTCTAATCTATTAATTTTGTAAGCCCCTAAATTATAATTATTTATATCTTAAATATTACTTGAAGGCTCTTTTTTTAATTTTCTTAATTTGTTATTCTAAATTTTGGGAATATTAATTAGTTGATAAAAATGTTGCCCCAAGAAAGAATTTGGTGATTTTGTAGTAAATTGTTTTTTTAAGTTTACAATCTTTATTTTTACATGAGTACATTGTCGAAATCTAGTCATAAGAAACCATTGAAATAAATAAAACAGCATTAAATTTAATATCAACAATTGCGCTTAAGTATAAATAAATTCCCCCGGCAGTAAGTTAGCAGTACATTGATCTTTCTTAAGGTTGTGTTTTCCTTAATCCCGTGATTCCATTAATAGTGTCATTTGAAATCTCGCAGACGTAATACCCTCCGCCGATCCTAGGGGAATGCAAAGCGGAAAGCGCAGCGCGAGAATTAGTTTCAGTTAGCACCGCCGATCTCGACGAACTAGTCGAACAGGGGCGAAAGAGGAGCAGGGGGCTTGGGGAAATGGAGGTATAGTGGCGTGGGGAGGGGGTCGGCGGAAGGTGTGAAGGCAAACAGCAGACGGCAAACAGAAATCTGAAAACTGAAAACTGGATGCAGTGCAGTCCCGAATGCGAATACCTTTCGGATGCATTCGCTCTTGCACATGGACTTTGCACCCGTTAGCTGCCAAAAAGAGAAGAGATTCAAAGGGAAGGGGTTAAGCCAAATGAAAAAAAGAACAGTTCACAACGTGGGATCCAAATCCAAATGCTCCAGCCGGCTCTCTTTCTCTGCCGCTGCATCCTCTGCCCAATGAAGCAGAGCGTTATAGTGCTGCCACAATTTAAAATTTCAAACTAAAATTAAAAAATGTAAATCAGCGGAATAAAATACTGACACATCTATTTGTAACTTTAATTTAATTAATAAGACTTCGATATGACTTTACTTCAACATTGCTTGAAGTGGAATATGTACTTTGTCCAAAATTTCAAATCTCATTATTCATAGTAATTGAAATATAATTTTATCAGCATTTATTTCCCATTTAAGGTTAAGCTTTATAAGAACCAAGCTGAGGGCCAAGGTATTTTTCGTATTTTGATTTCGTTTACTTTTATTTATAACAATAAATATATATTTGTTTTTGGTTTAGTCTTTCGTAATTTTTGTAAAATTAAATGAAATAGCGATGAAGCCAATGATTGCAAGTGATGATTGCAAGACCCAGACAATTATTAAAACAGCTTATTTTTACCCCATAAAAGTCATTTTATTTTGTCTAAAGCAAACACATTTCACTAGCTGTTCAGTCCTTCGGGATTTTTGCGAAAATGCCTTAAATAAAATAGCTAAGAAGCGACAAAATGGATAAATCGTCAGCACTACGGAGCGCCAACTGCGAGTGGGGATCCGTCGACGGCGACGCCGGCAGCGCTGCTCCACGATCGCTGGGCCGCTTTCCGCTTTCAGCTTTCCGTTCAGTTCACGCTCACCGCTCGTCGCGCTCAGTTCTCAGTTCTCAGCTCTCGGATTCCCGGTTGATTAGGACTCCCGCCGAAAGTGGAGGCAAAAGCTGAAGCGAAAAGAAATAAATGTACAACCAGCCTGGATGCGGATTATATATTTTTGGGATCAAGATAATGATGATCCGATCGGGCTGAACGTGTATAGCGCGTGTGTTTCGCTTTCTTACGCTTTTTCAACTGCGGCGAGGGCAGCAAAAGAAATTCGAAATCGAAATCGTATATTGTGAGTCGGAAATCGAGGGAAATTTCTAAACCCCAAGAAGTTCCCCCCTTCGAAGTAACAGTGAAGTGTATTGTATTGTTTAACAAAAAAAAAAATAATTAAGAAGCGACGAGCAAAGCAAAGCGAAAGAGCTGAATAAAAGAGGCGAAAAGCAGAAGCAAAAAGAAGCAGAATTTACCAATCCAGATTCTGATTTATAGTATAGCTGCGATGGTGTGTTCGCAAGTCGTACTAAAACATAAAGGCATTTGCAAAAAAGCCTTCCTAATATATGCTTAAAAATCAAATTAAATTATTAAACATTTTTAAGCACAAGAATACAGCTTTTCGGGGCGAGATTTATAATAATTTTCTAATGACAACGGCCGTACTAAAAACAGGCAACAAATTATTTGCCCGCCGTCTCAGTTCCATACATCTTTTAATTTATTATAAGCAGTGACAGTGTTTTTTCTTCATTTTCTGCCTGCCCGGTTCGCTGGGAAAGAGACTGGGCGAGAAACAAAGGGAAAAAAACGAAAATACAAAAATCAAGAAATACAAAATACAAATTAAACACGCGAATGTTTCAAACGAAAGTCGAAGCGAGTTGAGTGAATTAATGAAATATATATACGCACATAAAGTCTATATATGCGCGTTTTTGTGATATATTAAATAACGCTCCAATAAAAGCAAATTTATTTCAATTGTTAAGTCGGCGGAAAACGGCCAGCAAATAAATAAGTTAACAAATTGAGGGATAGCCAAACACAAACTATAAATTTGGATTAATTGGGAAAACCCTCAAAGGCGGATCAATATTGTAAGTTTCTATAGTTTAAGGGGTGAAAAGTTAATATGTCAATTGATGGAGAAAAATTATATGTATGTGTATTAGTGTTTAATTGTTATTGAGATTTTTAAAAGCTTTGAGTTCAGAATTATATTTTTTTAGGTAGATTGATAAAAATCGCTCAGACCCATTTACTACAGAATAAAAACAAATGTAAGATAGTATAGTATAGTATTTCAGTGAGTGAAGATCATTGTAAATATTAGATGTTTGTATATTTGTTGGACTACCTAGCATCTTTATATGTTATTATCTTTATATTTTCATCACTCGGCTAAAACTTTTCCCTTGTCCATTTCTTTTTAATACTCGTACACTTGCTCTAATTTCTTTCTTTATTTTTTGCAATCCTTCTTTTAATTGCATTTTATGCTTACTTGAGCATTTCGTTTGTGCCGTGAAGTGCCCGCTTGAGACTGTCAAAAAAAGAAATAAAATAAGGCACGAAGAGATTTTGCAAGCTCGTTAGCCGAATAACGGTCGAGGTAGAGAGTTACCATGTTATATGGTCATAAGATAAGACACTTCAGACAGCACTTGATGTTTATGGCGTGCCTTCTTCCTCTTCTCCCGCCCCTTTAGCACCGCCCCTTTAACCCCGCCCCCTTGAACAGTTCCTCACCTGGTCTAAATATATTTACCTTTACAAGTATTGCTGCCCTGTCAGATCATCTATGTTTACGGTTCTCTAATTAGCAGTTCGACTTCAACTCCGCAATTAAGTTTTAATTATCTAAGAAAACGCCTTTAATAACAGGCTTCCTTACGTAAAATTTCCTGTAGCCATTAAAAGAGTTTATTGCTTAACTGAACTTTTAACAGTTTCGCTCTGCTGCTATCCAAAAATCAAAATCCGCTGAAAAATCAATTTTGAAAAGGTTTTGAACTCATAGTACTTCAGTTTTTCGAGTTCAACCTAATGTGTATCTCATATTTCAAGGTTTAAAACAGTTTCAATTGTTTCTTATCATAAGTAGAAATGCGGCAAACAATAGTTCTTGATATGAAAGTTCCCCTGTACCAGAAACAGTGTTTGTTTTCTTCTGAAGCCCTCATTAAAAAAACTGCTGCAGTCGCACACAGTGCCTGCGATAAGTGTGCGTGCACCCTGAACACACAATAAATCGTGCAATGACTTCCCCATCGAAATTTCGCTCCGCTGGTTGGTTCTTCCTGTTCCATATCAATCACGTCGTTAAGGTCTCCGGTTGACATTTTTCCTCAGTTTCAATCGCTTTGCAGCCGCTCAACGTGTTTCGCATTTTAACTATCTTATTAACCGTCATGTTTCGTTGTTGTTCTCGCAGCTCGCACATAGATGTGTGTAATTAACCAAGGTGGGAGATAGAGATGATGATGGTTATTGTTATGAACGTGTGTGGGCTCTACGGAGCGGTGAGATCTAGCATTTGTCTAGCTGTCAGAAAACTGGAGCAGCTCCATCGGCCACGTGAATCAGATAAGCGCCAATATTTGTTACCATTTTGTGGGGCTGCCTGTTTGTTTATCAGATTTTCAGTGAATGACCAGATGAGTGGCTCAAGACATTAAGGTTGTGAAAAATTACATATAATAAAAATCAGAAAGCATCACAATTAAATATTTGTTGTACAATAGACAACATCATAAACGTTTTCAGAAATCAGAAATCTTGCCTCGTAATTTGGGCTTATCCCATATAAATAACCTAATTTAGTGTGGAAATATTTGAAAACTGGTGTGATTTATATCTATTATCTTATTGTTTTTGCATTCAATAAATTAGTAACATTAAAATTCAAACAAATAAAACTAATGAAGCAAATCACACGTTGCTGTTATTAATTATTATGTTTAGCAGTTTACTGTATCAAATTATGCATTATATTATTATTAAATCGTATAGTGCAATCCCATTAAATTTGAGTTATTCTAATCGTTCCCAATTTTAAATGTAATTAAACACGGGAATTTTCCATAAATTATAATATAATTGCAATTATAAATTTCACAATTATCCGACCTCTTGCTAACTAAATCAAATTTAATCATGTGACTCAGGCACTTATCAGCCGACTAATTAAGCTTTGCATATTCATTAAGTGAGGGCATTTTCCAACTACAGAGATAAATGTATTCCATGCAAATTCCAGGTGACTCAATCGTCAGATAATAATATCACTCCCCCTTTCTGTGCATTGTTGCACCTGCACTCCATCAACTTTTCTTCCTCAAGAAACCAGAAAGCCCACAAGTGACCAGAAATAAATCGACATCAAATCAGAGACGTCAGCGGCTTCGAGGTTTGCGTCACCTGAAAGCACGTCACTTGGCCAAGTCAGAGTGTGGAAAGATTTTGGATTTTTGCATGAAATTGTTAATTAACTGGTTCGACAGAAAGATCAGAGCCGCGGCGATGTCGCCAAGTGAATCACTGCATTTTTCCAGCAGCTGGCAACAAAAGGAGTTCCACATTGAGAGTATTAAATAAAAATGTGTTGAAAAGGTGCTGGTCGCGAATGAAATTGACTCGCTTAATCAGCACGCTAATGTTAATTCGAAATACGCGTGGCTTTTAGCATTGTGACGGCCCGGCTTCCCTTTCCTGCCACTCTCTGATATCAACGCTTTTATCAGCGCCAACAAATCTGCTCAAATAACAAATATGTGCCAAGCACACTCCATTATATGCATATACATTATATACTCTGTGGTATGTGGTATATGGTCCCTGGTATCTTATCTCTTCACGACATGCATGTCAGCGTTTAAACGACGCATTAGCCATTAGCCATAAGCCACAAGCCAACTCCATGCACTTCGCTCTATCAGGTCCCCAAACAGATATGAAAGTTTGGGCCGAAAAGAAAAGTGTTTGACATGCCGCACAGCGGCAATGAAAATGCAAACAAACCACACACGGAAACATCCAAGCTTAGATTTATTGAGTTTGCCAAACAATTACCCAAACTTGAGCAAAGGAAAAGCACCACCATAGTTGGGTTTAGAAAGTAGAGTTTAGATAAAGTTGAAGATCGCTTTATAATGCTCTTTGGGAAAAAGTTCTTGACTTGCCAAACTTTCAGTTGTAAATATACCAAAAATCAAAAGCTCTTTAAGCAGGTGAAGCTCAAATTATATTAATTAAATGTATTTTTGGGACGATTTTAGCCAATCCCCTTTTTTGAATTTTAAGATATTACAAGTTTTAAAAACTCCAGTAAAAATATTGAAACAATATTTGGCATTTATGTCTTAAAAAATATTAAATTTATACTGCAGTAAAATATAATATTTACCTAACACCTTTTATCTAAAAACCTAACGAAACAAATGAAAAATGTAAGTCATTTTTCAAATATGGGGCTCAGCTTTTGACAAGCTTTATTAGCATGCAAACTTGTGATTAAGATCTCATTTAACTGGCTCAACTGATTACTTTTTATAGCTAACAACAGAAGGCAGAACTCAGTTTTTGAATATGGAAATGGCCCTACAACAACTCTATAATACCTGCCTTATAGAGAATATACACAAAAAAGAAAGACAAACGAAATAAATTAAGAGTGCATAGCATCATCTTAGTTGGCAGCGCAGAAATATTAAAAATGCCAAACAGGTCGAAACTTTTTTTATGAATTTTTTTGGCTGATTGATTTGTTGCCTGTCGTCTTGGCCACTCCACCCACAGCTCCATTATTTGGGTGTGGGTGTTGGCCATAAAGCGATGGAACGCCCCGTAGATCTCACCTAGATTCGCTGCGCTCTCCTTTTATTTTGTGTTTTTTTACTTTTTGGCCCGGCCAATTTGAGGCCTCTGTTTGCCAAGTTGCTCCGCTCGTGTTTTATTGTTTACCGGGCTCTCTAGCTGCCTGTTGTTTACCCATCGTCAGCTGCTGTTTGATTTGCAACAATAATTTTTGTTTACGGTTTATGGTGCCCCTGCGAACGTGGATTGTTATTATTTAGATGATTACGCATTTTATAGTCACAAAACGGTCAACGTTTGCGTGATATGCGTTTCGTATTAATTATGAATTATAATTCCCTCTACTTGGCCACTTTAATTTTTTTTTTTGGTAATTTTGATGGTTTTTTGAGAGGGTTTGTTGTGAAATTGATTGGGCAAGCGTTAAAGTAGTCCAATGTCGATTACGAGGGCATTTTTAATTAGGGTATAGTTTATGTATACACTGCTTGAGGGAATGTTAATTTTATTTAATATGGGGCTTGCAATAAAACTTAAAAGTCTTGGGTTATAAATGAATAAGTAAAGAAAAAGTTGTTTTGCTTACTTTTAAATAATCTTATGATCTTAGCATGTTTATTAAAGTAAATTAAAATTATTTCATGATTCCAAAAAGTTCCCTTTAAAGCTTTACTATAGATCTGCCCCTGTTCCGGCCAAACTATCGAACCCGAAATTGTTACCTAATTATAGTGCTTGTCTGGCTGTAAAATACCGGGTTATCTAACGACTTTTTTCCGTGCCGTTCTAACTGTTTGCATTTCATTTCATTTCGCCATTGTCTTCGCAATGTTTTCTGTGTTTTGCAACCACTAATTGCAAATAAATTGTGCGCAGTTATAATCTGGGGAAACGGGCCCTGCTTCGGCCCCCCGGCCTCCCCTCGACACTATCTGTTCCGCCCCTGTCGATTAATCTTAAACACGTTGATCGACGAATGGCGCCAACTGACAATGAGATTGACAGCCAAATAAATACAAATATAGTAAAAAGAAGTACACTCGAAAAATATCTTACAAATTGTAGAATGAATTATGAATTCTTGAAGTCATTGATATTTATTAAAATATTTATATTTTGTATTAAAGTTCAAAGTTCCATTCCATTTTGTTTGGATTACGAAATGTGTGAGATTATATTTTTTTGGGCACTCACTTTTTTTGTATTATGTTTATGATTTATTTCTTAGATTTTAAGTTTTATTGCTCATCAGGAAATGATACACCAAATTAGCGAGTGCCGAAACGAAAATTTGAACCCACTTGATTCGGTTTAATGGAATTTGCTGCTGTTTAATTCATTACGATCCCAAGCGAAATGAAATCAAGTCAAATCGAATGGAATGAAATCGAAAAACCTTCCAGTAGTCGGCGGCGATCGTTTCCCGCTCGGTTCATTGACTTTTCCACGCCTTGGGCGACTGTTTGAGTGGCGGCGCAGATTGAAACCGCCGTACTAAATGTGAGATATAAAGTCAAGGTCGGCCTGTACTGTTTTCCGCTGATAAGACGAAGGCAGCAATGTGTCGCGATAAGAAAAGCCAAACATGAGCCAGCAGCAATGCGCAGAGAAGAGTCATTAAGACAAACAGTCAGAGGAAAGTTATGGAATTTCATTCAAAACATTTTTGGCAATATCACTTTATTACTGATCAAAGTTTGGCCAAGAGCAACCATTGTTGTCTTAGCAAATGCTTACTCAGTTCTTTATTTGATTGGCTCTTTTGAATTTGTTGGTATAAAAGCCTTTTGTTGACCTAATGAATATTTCCATAACTTCTACCCATGTTAGAGTGAGTTCAAATATGTTGGTAATTTATGCAAAGCTTTTTGATGCCATTGTTTAAAGTTGGTCAATAGTTCTGAACACATTAATAATCGGATTAAAAGTATTAATATTTTTAAAATCTACTTAAAGTAGTATTTTTAATATTTAAAATGATTATAACTATTTTTCATTGTTTTAATATGTAAACATTGACATTTATAGAAAGATAATTGTAAAAGAATAAGAATTTGTAAGGTATTTAAATATGTAACGTTTCGTATTCTTATTATTTCATTATAATCTCATGCTCCATTAAAGCAACTATAAATTGTGTTTTCCAACAAATATGTCTCAAAATTATTTATGATGGAAAACTTCGCCAGACGACGTTATAAATTTGGTTTTTGCTCTGGCAACTTTTGCATACTTTTCGTAAACATTCATAAATAGTCTAATGATGTTGCTTTGACTGCTGACTCCATTAATCAAAGCTTGTCACTCAGTCATTCACCCATTCAGCCGGCATTCATTCACTGCTTTTTTTGCTGGCGGATGTATCTTGTATCTCTGGGTGTTCAATGTTATCTTAAGATTTGTTTCGCCTTTATTTTTTTGGACGGCGATTCCATGGCCCCTTTAAAAAGTTTCTGCCGGATTCGTGGCTTGAGGGTTTTTCCAGTGAACCATTTGAAACGGAACCGCAATTAATTAAATGATGTATGATGTAATTATAAATGGGTTTCTAGGTAAATCCTCTCAAAGATATGAAATAATGTTTGATTTCTTTAATTGCAGACATAATTGAAATGGCATCATCCCCAAACAATGCGGCGCCGCCTGTTTTATGGCGGGCGAGACGTAAAATTGGTAAGTTCCCACCAGAATAATGTTAACATTTTTCCAGCTAAGCAATCAACACTGTTTTGGGTCATTAAATTTTGGCCAGATTAATGTGTTGAATTTAAAGTCAAAACGCGTCAAGGTTCAATGCCATTGTTGCATACTGAAATGTTCATTATCCTGCCTTTGAAAAATGGGAGGATGGGATTAAAATCCGTCTTTGTGTTTGCCCCATCAAATATTAACGAGACAAGGCAAGATGTTAAGTAGAGTAGAATTGAAAACTTGAAATCAAAGGCGGACTTATGAATTTTTGAGAAGCCTAAGTGTGTCTGCAATTAGTAAATGAATTTTGGATCAAAACTGAAATCAATGGCAATCCGATTTGCATTTGCTGGGCTGATGATTTAGTTGGGTTCAAGTGGGGTTTTTGGGATGATACTAACCCAAACTTCTGCCCTGCGGAAAACAATCAAATAAAGTTTTAATTAATTTCAAACAAACGGCCAAACAAACAGCGGTCCAGCCAAACAAACAAAAGCCAACCGACAGAACTAGAGAACTTTGCAAAATTTATGGCCATTGTCGCGTGGCTCTCACGCCCCCTTTTGCCACCCCGCCCCCTTCTGGTACAGTGGATCCCCGACTGGCGGATTCTGTTTGCCTTTGTAATGGTAACAAGAAGCAGCAGAGAAGACTTTGCACGCTTTGTCAACACTTTTCAGAAAGCGAAAGTCGCTGATGTCGTCGCTGTCACGCTTCATGCGGTTTATAGGGACTCCTTCTTAAGCACACACACAAGCACACACATTCTGGGGTGCCGTCATTTCCGTTTCCGTTTCCACAAAAACACTGGCAAACAAAAGGTCAAAACAAAAAGAGTGAAAAGCTAACTAAAATTGTAGGGAAAAATAACAAGAGAAGCTGTTGGGGGCTTTCAAAAATTGTACTACCCTTTCGAATATATTTTCATAATAATTCACTTAAAAACGAAATCAATTTAAAATTGAAACTGAAAAAGTTTGCAAAAATATTTAATAAAGAAAATAAATTCGCTCTTTGACTTTAAAAACTATTTTAAATCTGAAGGAATTTCAGCGCAAATATGTTCATTTATTGTCATCATTAGTTTTTGTTGGATACAAAATTTATAAGCGTTAAAATCTTATATATAAATATTGGCACTAATGCAAAGTAAGCAAATTTTTAAAATGATGAAATATATTTGATAAACTAAAATAAAATGCTTTTTAATCAATTTTTGCACTATTTTGTCTAAATTAAATAAGTTGTTATAGAGTATGTTCTTATTGAGAGGATTAATCTTTTTTTCCGGCTTCATTTTGACTTTGCGCTTAATTTACTTTGTTTTGATTCGCGATATTTCCACTCCACTTTAGCTCCGATTGCCGGTAACTTGGCAATGAGTGAAAGTTCAAGTCCTCACTCAAAAGGGGGCCAATATCGTATCTTTTGAGTGCGGAGGGGTTGGAGCTTTTTTGTCGGAGACAAAGCTGCGGTGAAGTTTATCGAAAGTTTATCTTGAACAGCTGCAGTTGAAAGCGAACTTTGAGTGATTTTTGGTTTATTTTCCCCTTTTTCGCGGTTTTTGCTTCGGTTTTTGATTCTGTTTCTGGTTGGCTCAGAGCCGGTTCTTTTGGCCAACTGACTGAGTGCACACATATACTCCAGGTATCTGTATTTGTGGGCTTTATGTCCAACTAACGGTGCATTTTTCGTCAATACAATTCAAATCGATTCGCATCGGTTTTTGAGTCAAGTCATATAAATGGTTTTATTCTTCGGGAGGAACAAATTTCAAACAGCTGTTGTATTTGTTCGATTTAATGTAGCCAGAGAATCCAGAGAAAGGAACAAGTTTAATTAACTTCCACTGCAGACAACAAATGTTTTGTTGCCTTTTCGGCTGGCTTTGTTTTGCTGGTTTCTCCTAATCTCCTTAATTAATTTGAGCTTATCTGCGATATAAAATGACATAAGAATGTTGGATAATATAAAAACCCATAAAGCAGAACAAAGGCTTTGCAGATAATAGACTGGATATAAAATTTAAAAAAAGGGAAAATTTAAATAAAGGAATGCCAAAAAAAAAAAAAATATATATATATATCACTTATAAATCCTATTTACGAATTTGTCACGATTTTTTTTACAAATAATTTTAAATTGTCTATTTCATTAAATAATAATCATTAAATTAATTAAGTTGTTTGTGTATTTATGAACAAATTAAAAGCATATATTTTGTAAGTACAGGTAAATTATTTCTAGTGTTATTTTTTTTATTAAAATAGCAATTTTTTAATTGTATTTCGTTCCATAAGGTAATCATTATTTTCTATTATTATTAATTTTTGGACTATACAACAATGTATATTGTTGAAGCACGGCAATATATATACATATATTACCCATATGTTTGTTGGAATTCAAGAAGTGAAAAAATTTGCTTCTGTTCAGGTTTATAGGTTTTCGCCATCGATTCATTATTCTATCTGCAGGCAGCGGCAATCAATTACGGCCATGGTCGCTTTAGCGTTAACAGCAAAAAAAATGTAAAAAGTCGCATATTTCCCAGGTCACAGAACACAGATACAATTTGTTTTCGCTGATAAGAAATCTGAAAAAAGGAAAAACGTAGCGCTATCAACAAGTTGAATGCGAATGCCAGAGAAAAGGGAATAAACGATAAACGAGAATGGGGAGAGCGAGAACTGCAGAGAGGGAGAAAGAGAGAAATTCTAAAGTTCATCAGTAAACTTAAAACGGCAAATGTAAATAAAAAGCAAAAAACAAAGAAAATCACTCAGATTTAACACTCAAAAAAGCAAGCATGTTGAGTGACTTGGCTTTGTTTATTTTAGGCGAGTTCGCCGCGTTCGCTTTTCGCCGCGTATCTGGCAGCTACGTTCACCGTTCGCTTTTCGCCTTAGTATCGCTCAGATATTCAAAGCGTTCGGTTCGCTCGAAAAAGAGAACGCGCGACAAAAGCGGCCCGAAAATAAATTACATTTAAATACTGCCCCACTGGCAGCCCAGGAAAATAGGAAATCGATCTGAAAACCATTTATAAAATTCGGGCAGAGTTTTGTGCGCTGTGTGTGAAGAGAAAACCCCGAGGAAACCCCAATTAAAAAGTACAAAAGTAATCTTTTTGAGATGAGCCAATGAAACGTTTTTTATACGCGATCAACGGTCGCGTGCTCAATTCGCGTGTGTGTGTGTGCCTGTGTGTCGCCAAGGTGTGAAAATATACACATATACACGAGTATATATATTTATCTCAAGCGATACAACGAAAAAGTATCTATAACGACAACTGCATAATAGCGGTGCCACAATTAACGCAAGCCAAATAAAAGGCGTAAAATTAAGCAGAGCAATTTGAATTTCTAGATCTAGTCCGCTAAGTGGCTGAGTAAATTAGATGGATTTTGTGATCAAACGTTTATTTTTTTGCAGAGTTTCGCAGAGTATCTTGAAGATAGGAAAAAAGATGCATTTTATTCTTTGCAGCTGATCAGCGGCTCTCTCGTTCTCTCTTTTAGTATGGCCAGTGTTGCCAGCCTCGTAATATCTTTTCCTAGTGTGCTTATCGCCATGTGTGCGTGTATGTGTTTTTCGCTATTTTGTTGTTTATTATTTGATATTGTTGCGGCGAATTTGCAATGCGTCCAAGCGTGCAAAAAAAATTTAAAACGTTACCCTCAACGAAATTTAAACAATTTTAGAGGTCCAATTTATACAGTTATTTGTTATTTAAGTCTGCTCGTTAGCGCTCTCTTTTTCGGGATTTCTAAAAAAATAATATACCTTTTATGGTTTCCTAGAATTTTAATGTTTAAAAACAATTTCCAGACTGCAATTTCCTTTTTATTTTCCCTTCTTTAATTCTAAAGAATAACCAAAAACTCAATATAATTTTTTGCTATAAATCTTTATTTCTTTTGTTTTTTCTGTTCTTGTAATTATAAAAATTTTATTTTTTTAGTTTTGTGATTTACCATTATAAATTTAAATAAAATATAAGTCAATTTCATAATAATCTGTTATATTTTTTAAAATGTCTACAATCATTATTTTCTTTAATTATGGGTTTTATTTATGGCTCAATATAATGTTTGCAGCTAAGAAATTTGATTTGTGTCGGTCAGTTGGTTTAAATAATGTTTTTTTGGCGAATACTGCGCGTTTTCTGGCCACTGAGATAAAGAACGATAGAGAGAGCGGGCGAAAGAGAGAGAAGAGTGCGCAGTTTTATAGGCGATAAGCTGTCTGGGCAGCCCTTTTCCCCCTTTTCACTCACCTTAGCCCCCTTTCACCCCTTACCTGCAGACAGGTGCGTTCACTGAGTTCAATTCTTGCTTTTGTTGTCACTTTGCTTTTATTGTTGTTTTTCTCGCTCTTTTTATCAAGAGAACAATACACATATGTTTTCCCCCATGAGTGTATGTGTGCTTGGTGAGTTTTGTCATTAAAGTCTTTTGCCTGTAGTTGTTGTTTTTGCTGTAACGGAAGTGGTTTTGTCGCTCTTATGTAGTTTTTGCCTTTTTCGGCACCTTGAGTAGCTTTGTGGTTCGACTTGAAGAAGTTTTAGCTCACAAAAATAAGGAAGATTAATAAAAAAAGGTTTTGAAATGTGGTTATCATACGATTTTTAGGTTTTTGTTAAAAAATATTTTTGTGATAAATATTTTCCTTTTAAAATATTTAATACAAAAACAAAATGTTCTATATTAAAGACCCCCATAACGAAATTATCTCTACAAATATGTCATGTCATGTTTAAGATTAAAAAATTTAAAAATTATACTTCAAAAGATTTCTTTTAATTTCTTTTTACATGCATTTGATTTTATTATTGTATGCTCATATAAAATGTTGTTATGATAAACGGAATAATATTTGTAACCAGAAATGTTTGTCCAGGAATCTAATCTTTGATATTCAGGAACACTAGTCTTTGATAATTCCTACATCTACGTTTTTTTTCGATTGGGATACGT